CTTTCCCTGGCTCCTGCTACCCTCACTTCGAAGGTTTACTTGGTATACTCGCACTGCTCTATTTGGTTCAAGCAAGCCGTGTCATTCTCGTAAAAGCACAAATGGATCCGGTCTACTCTTGCCACGTTCCTTCGTATGACCTTCGCGTCTCTGTGTTTTCGCTGACTTTTACACTTTCTGCAATGTCTAGCGACACCTGTCTGCGATCTTTTCCCTTTTGGTTCTCCGATTTTTTTCCGATTGCTTTTCTCTGCTTTGGGGTTCCGGTTTCCCCTTTTTTATTTTACCATCAAACTGGACTCGGACTCGCGCACTCGACTCGAGACTCGCACTCGACTCGACTCGGACTCGGACTCGGATCGGACTCGGACCTCGACCGGAGGTGACGGGTCGCCCGGACTGCGCACGGACACGGGCACCGTCACGTTACGCCGACGCACGCACGCACTGCACGCATTCCACGTCTTTCCCCGTCCGCACGCACGACGCAGCGCGTACGCGCGCGACTGCGACGCACTTTCCTTCTCTCTCTCCTCTCTCTCCGTCACGCACCACTACCCCTGCCCACGCACACACTCACCATACACACACCACACGCGCAGCTCAACCGCAGCCCAACACGCGCGATCACGCCACACGCACACGCACACGCAGACACGCACACGACACAGTCGCACACAACCAGACACACAACACAGACACACCAAACGAAGGAACCAAGCATTCTCGGCTACCTGGACCGTGCGACACGCACGCAGCGCACCACCACTGCACAGCACACGCACGCACGCACGCACGCACGCACGCACCACAGGCACTTGGAGCGTTTCAATAAAATATAATGCTAAATAAATACGCTATAATAAATAAATACGTTAAAAAATGCTATCTATTTACCACCAAAACGGTTTCTCTTTTTCGCCTATTATTGCCGACAATTTCCTGTAAATGCCGTGCACATGCTATATATATATCAGGAGTAGATAATAGGGTTTTATTACTATCTACCTATTATCTACTCCTGATATATATGTCAGTGTGCGGCAGCGCGCGCGCGCTGTACATGTGTGTTGCAGAGGAGCATTTGCACGGCATTTTCAGAAAATTGTCGGCAATCATAGGCGAAAGAGAGTAGAGAAACAGTTTTGGTAGTAAATAGATTTTGTATTTATTAGGCATTATATTTTATTGAAACGCTCCAAGTGCCTGTGGCACCCACGTACGTACGCACGCACACACGCACACACGCACGCACGCATGAGCTGTCTTGTGTTATTTCAACGCCGCCCACACAGCAGTCGTGAAGAGCAACTCGATCGTAATAAACCTGCGCGTTATCTGTGGGGATGTGTAAAGTTACAAACTTACGCTTCGAACGTAACGCGCCGCGCATAAAATCCACCAAGCAAGCACGACTGGCAATATAATATATTTCAGAATTAGGCACTTGTTTTTGACCGCCCTTCCCCCAACTCTTGCGGGCGGGGCGATTAAGTTTAACTGTCTACGCTACAATTGCGATTTGGGAAAACCTTTGCCGAGCTAAAAACTCATTTTCGTTAATGTCGCAGCCCAAGGTTTGTTGATTTTACTGATCCTCACGTTTAATCGCGTGAAAAGTTGAGATGTGCACTCGAACTGGGTAGTAGACAGGTGAACTGTATATAAATATTTATCCATGTGTACGTATTGTATATAAATGCGTGTTGTGCCATGAGTTGTATATAAAAGCTATTGCGCTGTATATAAAATTATAAACGTATCCACTCCTGACATTGGTTCAGTAAAATACTGCATATAAATGTATTCACTTGATCATAAAGGTGAAGTGACCGCAGACATTATGAATCTGGCTACGATAGCAAGAAAAAACCTTAGAAGCTATCTGACGGATCTGAAATCAACGCGCGTGTAAATGAGACGCGAAACCGCGCATCGCCGAGATGAAATCAACGCCATCTATCGGCGCCACATGCAATCTACGGGGCGAGTTATGTAAACAGGGACAAGTTATGAATAGTTACTTATCACTATACTATAGGAGAAACTCGGGCGGGATCCGAAACCTCGTGCCAAGTCTCGGTCGTCCCTCTCTCCCCCTCCTTCTCTTTCTCTCTCCCCCATTCCCTCTCTCGCACTCACCCCTTCTCCCCCTCTCCCTCTCTCCCCCTCTCCCCCTCTCCCTCTCTCCCCACAGAAATACACACACACACACACACACACACACACACACACACACACACACACAAACACACACATTCCAGCATCAACGGGCGCGTTAGCGCGGCGTAAAGAGCCGATAATATGACCGCCAACGGGGTGCCTAACCGTAAACACATATACATATATATACACATATAGATATATATGTAGATATAAA